GCTACATGCAAAAAAATGAAACTAGACCATCAACTTACACCATACACAAAAATAAACTCAAAATGGATAAAAGACTTAAAGGTGACCTGTGAATCCATAAAAAAATCTAGAAGAAAATGTAGGCAACAAAATTTCGGACATCGTATGCAGCGGATTTTTCACTGACACATCACCTAAGGCAACAAAAACAAAAGAAGAAATGAACACATGGGACTACATCAACCTAAAAACCTTAAAAGAAATAACCATCAAAATGGAAAGGCAACCTGTATCGGATAGCATCATTGCCAATGATACATCAGAGAAGGGGTTAATTTCCAAAATATATAGAGTACTCATACAACTCAACAAAAGGAAGACATAGAACCCAATTAAAAAATGGGCAGAGGAGCTGAATAGACACCTCTCCAAACAGGACATACAAACGGCCAAGAGACATATGAAAAAAATGCTCAACATCCTTAATCATCAGAGAGATGCAAATTAAAACAACAATGAGGTATCACCTCACACCTGTCAGAATGGCTGCCATCAACAAATCATCAAACAACAAGTGTTGGCGAGGGTGTGGAGAAAAGGGGACTCTAGTACACTGCTGGTGGGAATGCAGACTGGTGCGGCCACTATGGAAAACAATATGGTGTTACCTCAAAAAATTAAAAATTGAACTTCCATTTGACCCAGTGATCCCACTTCTAGGAATATACCCCAAGAAGCCTGAAACACCAATCAGAAAGAATATATGTACCCCCATGTTCACAGCAGCGCTATTTACAATAGCTAAGATCTGGAAACAGCCTAATGTCCATCAGTCGACAAATGGATAAAAAAGTGGTGGTACATATACACAATGGAGTACTATGCAGCTGTAAGAAAGAAAGATCTCTTATCTTTTGAGACGACATGGAGGGACCTGGAAAGTATTATCCTAAGTGAAACAAGCTAAGCAGAAAAAGATAAATACCACATGATCTCAATTATTTATGGAATATAATGAACATAACAGTCTGAGGAGTAGGGCAGACCCAGAAACATGGAAGTAGGGTACAGACTGATAACTCTCAGAAGAGGGGGTAGTGGGAGGGAGGGAAGAGATAAACCACAGGACTTATATGCATGTATGCATGACCAATGGACATGGACAACAAAGCCAGGGACAGGGCGGGGGGATGGGGAGGAGTGTGTCAATGGTACAAAAAAGGAAAAACATCTGTAACAAAAATAAAATTTAAAAAATAATAATCCCATTTACAATTGCATTAAAACAACAACAACAACAACTGCCCTGGCCAGTTTGGCTCAATGGTTGTGATGTTGGCCCACGGACCAGAGAGAGCTGGGTTTGTTTCCTGCTAAGGGCAGGTACATCAGTTGCGGTCTGTTCCCGGCCCCGGTTGGGGTCGGGGTCGGGGTCATGTGGGTGGCGACCACTCCATGTGTCTCTCTCGTGTTGATGTTTCCCTCTCTCTCTTCTTCCCTCTCTCCCTCCCACTCTATCTGAAGATGGATGCAAAAGTGTGCTTGGGTGAGGATAACAAAACATAACAAAACAACAACCTAGGAATAAATATAACCAAGAAGGTAAAAGACCTATACTCCAGAAATTATAAAACACTGAAGAAAGAAATTGAAGAAGATAACAAATAAATGGAAGCATATACTGTGCTCATGGATAGAAAGAATTAACATGTTTGAAATATCCATACTACCTACAACATACTATAGATTTAACGCAATTCCTATAAAAAGACCAATGGCGTATTTCACAAATGGTTTATTACGACAAATAATCCAAACATTTATATGGAACCATAAGAGACCCCCAAATAGACATAGTAGTCTTGAGAAAGAACAAAACTGAAGGTATTATGCAATGTAATATTAAACTATAGTATAAGGCTATAGTAATCAAAACAGCATGGTACTGGCATTAAAAACAGACACATAGATCAATGGAACAGAATAGAGAGCCCAGAAATAAACCCATGCCTATATGGTCAATTAATATTTGACAAAGGAGGCAAGAATACAGAATGGGGTAAATATAGTCTATTTTTTTTTTTATTCTTACCCAAGGACATTTTTCCATTTTTTGTTCAGGTAGAGTGGGAGGGAGAGAGAGGAACAGAGAGAGAGAGAGAGAGAAACATCGACATGAAAGGGACACATCAAGTGGCTGCCACCCGCACGAGCAACCAGGGCTGGGGACAAACTGCAACCGAGGTACATGCCCTTAGCGGGAACCAAACCCGAGTCTCTCTGGACCGCAGGCTGACGCTCTAACCGCTGAGCCAAACCAGCCAGGGTGGTAAAAACAGTCTATTAAAGACAGTCTATTCAATAAATGTTGTTGGGAAAACTGAACAGATACATGCAAAAAAATGAAACTAGATCACCTTCTGACACAAGAATAAACCAAAAATGAAATAAAGACATTAAGAATTGAAACCATAAAAATTTTAGAAGAAAGCATAGGAAGTAAAATCTCAGACAGTTCTCATAATAATATTTTTTTCTGACATAGCTCCTTGGGCAAGGGAAACCAAAGAAAAAAGGTACCGTATCAAACTAAAAAGTGTTTACACAGCAAAGGAAACCATCAACAAAATGAAAACACAACCCACTGAATGGGAGAACATCTTTGCCAATGACACGTCTGACAAGGGATTAATATCCAGAATTCATAAACAACTCACACAACCCAACACCAAAAAACCTAAATAATCCAGTTGAAAAATGGGAAAAGGATCTGACTAGACACTTCTCTAAAGAGGACATACAGATGGCCAATAAATACATGAAAATATATTCAATGTCACTAATCAACAGAGAAATGCAAATTAAAACCACAATGAGATATCACCTCATACCTGTCAGAATGACTATCATCAATAAATCAACAAACAAGTGTTAGCCAGGATGTGGAGAAAAGTGAACCCTTTTGTGTACTTGGTGGAACTGGAAACTGACGTAGTGCCTATGGAAAACAGTATGGAGATTCCTAAAATATCTAAAAACAGACAATTTACAACCCAGCAATTCCACTTCTGGGTATTTATCGAAAAACAACAAAAACACTCATCTGAAAAGCTGTAAGCACCCCTATGTCCACTGCAGTGTTATTTACAATAGCCAAGATTTGGACGCAACCTAGGTGTCCACCAATAGATGAATGGATAACAAAGATGAGGAACATAGGTACAATGGAATATTACACAGCAATAACAAAAAGTGTAATCTTGCCATTTGTGACAACATGGATGAATCTAGAAGGTATTATGCTAAATGAAGTAAGTCAGGCAGAAAAAGACAAATACCATATAGTTACACTTATACATGGAATCTACAAAACAAAACAAAACAAAGGAACAAACAAAACAAAAATAGACTCATAGAAACAGAGACCAAAGGGATGGTTACCAGAAGGGAGGGGGAGGATGGATGGATGAAAAAGGGGAGTACAGTCAATAATATTGTGACAGGTATACACAGTGACAGATGATTACTAGAATTAGTAGGGTGATCACATTGCAAGATATAGAAATGTCAAACCATCATATTGTATACCTGAAACTAATATAACCAATATAATATTGTATACCAACTATACTTAAAAAAATTAGCCCTGGCTGGTTTTGCTCAGGGGGCAGAGCGTTGGGACCAGTGAGTCTCCCTCTTTCCCTCCCTCCCATTCTATCTAAAGATAAATAAAAAAATATCCTTGAATGAGGATTAAAAAAGAAAATCAAATTATTTGCAAGTCATATTTTGAATAAGGGTATATATTATTCAGAATACAGAATGAACTTTTACAACTCAAGAACAAAAAGATAAACCAGCAAATTAAAAAATGGCAAAGGACTTGAACAGACATTTCTCCAAAGAAGATATATAAATACTCAACAAGTACACAGAAAAATGTGCAAGGTCATCAGTCATGACAAAACTGCAAATCAAAACAATAAGGTATCACTTCATACCCACATGAATGGCTATAGTAAAAAAAGTGTTGGGGAAAATGTGGGGAAATTTGAATCCCCATATATTTGGTGCAGATATTGGGGAAACAGTTTGGCTGTTTCTTAAAAAGCTATACACAATGCCCTGGCCTGTTTGGCTCCGTGGTTGAAGCATTGGCCCGCAGACCAAAGAGTTGCGGGTTTGATTCTGGTCAAGGGCATGTACCTTGGTTGCGGTTGTCCCTGGCCCTGGTTGGGGAGGCAACCAGTCAATGTGTCTCTCTCGCCTTGATGTTTCTATCTTTCTCCCTCCCCTTCCTTCCCACTCTATCTGAAGATAAATGGAAAAGTATCCTTGGGTGAGGATTAAAAATAAATAAATAAAATAAAAAATAAAAAGCTATACATAGTAATATATGACCCAGCATTCCATTCCTAGATATATATTCAAGAGAACTGAAAACACAGGTTTAAGTAAAAAGTTGTATACAAAAATGCATAGCAGTGCTATTTATAATAGTCCGTATGTGGAAGCAACTCAAATGTTCACCAGCCATTGAATGGATAAACAAAAATGGTATATCCATAAAATGAAATATTATTCAGTCATAAAAAGGAATAAAGAACTGAGACATGCTATAACACAGCCAAACCTTTATACACTATACTGCCTGAAAAAAGCCAAATATATTTTGATCATATATTTTATGATCCACAATGATATGAAATGTTCTAAAATAGGCAAATTCATAGAAACAGAAAGCAAATTAGTGGTTGCCAGCAGTTGGCAGTGGGGAATGCAATGGGTATTGACTACTTAATGGGTGTTAGCTTCTGTTAGTGGTGATGACGATGTTCTGAAATTAGATAGTGCTGATGGTTGCCCAACACTGTGAATACATCAAAGCCACAGAACTGTACACTTTAAAATGGTTAAGATAAATTTTATGTTATATGAATGTTACCTCAATTTTTTAAAAAAGGAAGGAAACATTTGTTACCTGAGTCATGAAATAAATGCAGGAATGATGTCAGGCTTACCAAGCGACGCCAGGTTCCTGCAGTTCTCCAGCATCACATTTTTGTACAGTGTTTTCTGAGAAGAGTCCAGCAATGCCCACTCTTCTTGGGTAAACTCTACAGCCACATCCTTGAAGGTCACCATGTCCTAAGATCATAAAAAATATTAAGGACCACCCCCACTGAGGTTATATAGGAAAAGGGCCAACGATGACAAGAGCGGGGACAGGGACTCCAAAGTAGAAAGTGTACTCTGTACATCAGAGTTCTGGGCTTTACTTTAATTTGCTTCTGGGATCAGCCCTTAATCTCAAAGGCTGAACACAAGCCTGGAGCATTGCAGAAATCAGGAAATTGGCAAATGTATAAATGATTTCCTAGTGGCCACTATCTATTGCTTGAGTTTAGGAAACAGTCATGTATTTCCTTAGTGTCCCCTTAAAATCTATGAGCACATGATGTAGAGAGTGTCCCTGCAGGAAACTGCAACGTAGTAAATACTGACATATATAGACCTTGTTAGGGCAGCCTCTCACCTTCCATCAGATTCCCAGAGATCCTGGGATGCCTGAAGATCTGGTTTGGCTGTGAGGCCCCAGGTCATTGAAAGATAACAAGTTCAACTTATGGCCAAAAAAAATAATGATTTGGAAAAAGAAACATATGACTCACCGGTAACCAGCTTTTCAGGAAGCCATTAACAAACCCTTCCTCCTCTGTGCATCCTTTTTGAGATGTTGGGTACAGGGGAGACTGAACTGGAGAAGTATAAAGGAGTCATAAATGAGTCACAAGAATCCAGGTGTACTCTATACTCTAGGACTCACATCTCCTTTCCTACCTGTGAATAAACACACACACACACACACACACACACTCACTTCATTAAGAAAGCAGAGCAGAGCCCTGTCTCACCAGGGGAAGAAAAGAAAACAGGGCTCAACAGTCACACTGCACTTGAGGAAGAGATTATTCCCACTTTACAGATGAGGAAACCGAAAATCCAAGTGACATCATTGTTGTTTTATCAAGTATATAAAAAGAATTAGAGGTAAAATTCAGAAGCTTCTGCATATTGACCACACAGGTGACATCACAGACACTCAAACCACTAGAGTCCCAAATACCTGAAACCTAATTAGGTACCAGTGGCCTCTGGGATCCACTCCTGCCTCACCTGCTCAGCTCTCTCCCCCTATCTGCTCTGTGGTACAGAAGCCTTGAACACCTGGACTCTGAGAGCTGCCAGGACCCCACAACTTACCACAGGTGGGGAACAGAACCATGGCCATGATCCTATGATTCAGCCAGTGGGAGAACCAGGGTATTTCTCTTCCTCCCACAATACACTCTGGAATAAATGAGAAAATATGAAAAATTCATAGCTTCTCTCCTTCTCCAGGTTACTGAGGACAGATCTATCTTAGTTTGCCCATCATGTACTCCTTAAAAATGCAATGTCTTTGTTACTGGGCCTTTATTTTGCCTAGCAGGTGATAAATCCAGGGCTGTGTGATGGCAAAACTTGTCTTCTGTCCACCAAAGTATGACTAATACATTACTACATTACTGCTCCACCCCATTTTATTATTTATTTTAATCCTCACCCGAGGAGATACACACACACACACTCACACACATTTATTTATTTCAGAGAAAGAGAAAGGTGGGGGGGGGGGGGGAGAAAGAGGAAGAAGGAGGGAGGGTGAAGGAGGGAGGAACAGAGAGAGATAGAGAGAAACATCAGTTGGTTGCCTCCCATATGCACCGATTGGGGATCAAATCCACAATGTGGGTATGTGCCCTGGCCGGGAATTAAACACATGACCCTCCAGTGTATGGGACAACACTCCAATCAACTGAGCCATATTGGCCAGGTCTGCTTCACCCCATTTTAAATCCTCAGCTTCACTTAGTCTCTTCCCATCCATGTGCTTGTCACAATCATATTCCCAACTTCAATTCCCATTCATTTGAGACTTGAGCATCTGACTTCTATTATTCTTTCAACCTCCAGTCCCACCTCACTCAGATGATGTCAGACCTCACTGTGTTATGACTTTGCTTCACTCCACCTCGGCCACACACTTCCATGGGCATTACCCCAGGGTTGGTCATCAACTGACAATGTTTCACTATCCAGACTAATAGTTCAGAAATTGCCCTCTCTCTGAACACAACCTCTCAAGCTTCTACTTTGTTCACTCATTTTTTTTTCTTTCACTACATGCATTCTATCACATAAAGAACGCAGTCCACCTACTATCCTACTTTTTTTTTTTATCCTACTTTCTTGCTACCCATCAGTCACCTTCTCTCCTCATTTCATGCTTACCCAGCTTGGTTTACAATGTCTCTCATTTCCACAAATTTCCTTGTTCCTCACTCCCACCTTCACAGTGCTCCAGAACTCTAACCAGGTGATTCCAATCATCTGCCTGCTTGCGGCAGCATTTGGGCAGACCAGCCTGCAGGAGAGCTGAATTACTGTCACCTCTAGATAAACACGGTCACCAGCATGAAAAGAACTCTCAATCCTGCAGGACAATCCTATAAGTAGATGGAGCTTCCTACTCATCAAACCTTTTCTAATCTAAGTCTCATACATCCTTAATTTTTCCCTCTATGGGCAATCAGCTTCCTATTTAGCCTTAATAATTCAAGCCTCCTGATATTCACAACTGCATTTAATTAGGGCTGAGCTGTGTGACTAATATAATACCGTGGAGGTGACTTCTAAGGCTGGGTCCTAAAAGGCACAGCAGCTTCCACTTTGGTCTCTTGCACTGCCCAATCTGGTCCTGCCTGCCTAACTGTCCAACCTGGCTCACACTCCTTCCCTGTGTTGTCTTGGCTTCAGCCACACCTGTCTTTGAAGTTCATGGAGCACACCAGGCCCTCCTGCTTTTGGAGTTGCTCTCATGCAGTTCTCTTTGCCTGAAATGCTCTCTTAAATGTACTCCCACACCTTCACTCCAGTCTAGTCCTATGAGTAGCAAAACCCAGTCCCAACTTTAGCTCTCAAGCTAAATATTAGTCCTTCTCAAGATGGCTTCCTTGTTCCCTCAGATTGAGTCCTCTGTGCCAAGCTCCTAATTACATCAATTATATAATTAATAGTTTAGACTGTAACCTCCATGGAGGCAAGGCAAGATCTGTTTGGTTCTCCAAGATTCCTGTGCATCTGGCTCATGGAGAGGATGAACCATCCTCGTTTGCCTGTGGCTGTCCTGGTTTGAACACTAAATGTCCTGTATCCTGGCAAATCCCTTAGTGCCAAATAAATGATGGCTGGTCACCCCAAATTGTGCACTCAAGACTATCTATTGCATGACAAGCAAATATTCCCCTCAGGAATGTTACAGGAAAACTAATGAAAAAGGCACACACACACACACACAATTAGTAAAGCCCAACAATTGAATATAACATAACTTAATTTTCTTCTCTGCAATATGAATCACCAGACTTATTTCAGAAAAACTTTAATAAAGTTAAGCCCTGGCCAGTTTGGCTCAGCGGTTAGAGCATCGGCCTGCGGTCCAGAGAGACCCGGGTTCGGTTCCCGCTAAGGGCACGTACCTTGGTTGCAGTTTGTCCCCGGCCCTGGTTGGGTCGTGCGGGTGGCAGCCACTCGATGTGTCCCTTTCACGTCGATGCTTCTCTCTCTCTCTCTCTCTCTCTCTCTCTCTCTCTCTCTCTCTCCCCCCCCTCCCACTCTATCTGAACAACAACAACAAAAAGAAATAAAGTTAATTTCTATTAGAAGGCAAGCTGTGGAGGACAGTCTTTGGAAACTGGTGCCCTCCCCTCCAATCTATAAGTTGTTACTTAATATTCCTCCAAATGATTTTAAATTTCATTAAGAAAAAAAGAAATCAACTGGCTCAAAATACATCTGGTTGCCAGTCAATTTAAATTTCTGTTACTTATATAAAGAAGTTCAAATCATTTTTTCTTCCTGATGCTCCTATATTTTGAATCTTTGTGGAGGATTTATGGAGCTTTAGAAGTCAAATTCAACAGGCCTGAGGAATTTTGCTAAGTAGTCCAGCTAGTCTTTAGTTGGATGACTTGTCATACTTCATAAACATTTAAAAATTTATATATTTATACTTATAAATATATGTTTATATAAGTATATATATTATATATATACTTATATATAAAATCCTATATTTTTATTATGTAATGTGAACAAATACATATTTCTATAACGTTGCATATTTTGTATTTACATGTTTGTTTAATGTGTACTTATTCACATGTACAACTATTACTGAATTATTTATTCACATATAGTGACACACACCTTACTCTTTCCCTTGAGTATAATCCATCAAACATAAATAATTTTTCTTAACATTTTCTCACTCTTAGTGACTCCTTATGTTTACAATCGGGGGTTAAGAAAGCCCATTAGTTTTTCTGCACAGTGGAGGCAGCTGGAACCTGTTGTCACAAGTTCCACACAGCCCTCACCTGGTCACACAGAAATCTTCAATCGGTGAGGAAAGGTGAGCCCTGAGGCTGGTTTCAACTCAAACCTGAGCTCTAGAGTTGATTTTCTTGTCTGAGGAGGAAAAAAAAAGAGAGAAAAGCACAAAGATGGCTCTTGAGGTCTTTTATAGGGCATAATACAGTTATTGAATGGAAGAGCCATCCCATTCACTCTTCTGTATTGGCTGATTAACGTGTAATTGTTGACTGTGACGGGATTTTCCTGACTCCCCTCCAGCCATCTGCTTCCCAAGTGGGAGAAGGCAGGTTCATGCTGTGTGCAACTGACACGCTCAACTCATTTGGCTGGATAGAGTTCTTGGTTCCTCCAGACACTTTAAATATGGCTCGTCCCTTGGGGGCCCTATAAGTGACTCAGCTGACTTCTAAACAATTTCCAGAGTTCATTCAGGGCCTCAGATATTTTAAGGCCCTAGAGCTGGGTTTCCCAATCTCAGCCCTACTGACATTTGGAGCTGGCTAATTCTTTGTGGTGAAGGCTGTGCGTTGGAGGTGGTTGGGCAGCATGCCTGGCCTCCACCTTCTAGATGCCAACAGCACCCCCTCACACCCCATTTGTAATAACCCCAACAATGCCTCCAGACACGGCTATAAGTCCTCTGGGGGGCCAAAATCACACCCGGTGAGGGGGGTTGGGGGAAGCTCTGACGGAGGGACAGCGGCGTCCTGAGCTGGGGGGTAACAGCAGCTTCCGGCAGACCTCAAGAACCAGCTCAGGGGAGGAAACTGGGTCCCGGGAGGGACAGAAAGTCCCGGCCGGGACTGGCGGTGCCCTGAGCCCATGCCCCTCCCTGCACTGCCCGGACTACACGCAGCTCACCGAGTCCTCCCCTTGCACTGCGGCCAAACGCACCACGTGAACGCCGTCCCACCCAGGGCAGCCAGAGCACACTGCGAAGCCAGCCACCCACGACAGCTCCACGGCGCCTCCCCAGCTCCTACTTCCGGTCTCGGGCTGGCGGCTCCACACGGGTTTCCGGTCACGGGCCGGCCACCGCGGAGAGCGAGAATACCGGGGTCTCAGGGCCGAGGTGGTGATCAGAATGGGGGCCAGGGAGAGACCCATGGGTGGTTTGTCAGCGGAGACTAGTTTCTGGGGTCCCGGACTAGGTTCTGGGAGACGCCAGACACAGAGGGCGTGGCTGGGGGGAAGACCAGTTCTCTGCGGGGGCTGGGCAGGGCCCAGGCTGTGGGGGCGCCAGGCCCGGGGGGGCGTGGCCGTGGGGGGGATGAGTTGTGGCGGGGCTGTCGAGGGATCCGGGACGTAGGTGGTAGCAGGCCCGAGGATCGGGTGATGGGTGGGGTCCAGATTGTGAGTGGGGACCAGACGTGGGGGGCCGGGGGGTGAGGCTAGAGTAACAGGAATGGGGCTGGTATCGGCTGGGCGAGCTGGACAGCGGGAAGGAATCCGCTCTAGGGGCGGGGCTGGAGGTGGGCCTTTTCCTGGATCCCTGAACTGTTCAGGTAACGGGAAGGGTGACAGTTTTCTTTCAGTTTTTCCACCACGTTCACACAGCCTCACAGAGCCTAATAGAACGACAAGTGCATGTTTCGGATTTTAATTTTTTTGTGCATGTTTTTGTTAATTTCTTTAAAAAAGTGGATCATATATTCGCATTTCTCTACAACTTGTAGCCCCAAACCAATAGAAAAGGATCCAACGCTATAGCTGTTCAATTTAAAACATTTTAGCGAAGGGGAGAGGGACTACCTCACAGATAAATATATAGGAACACTTCAAGATGGGTACAAAGTCACTAAAATATTCTCACTCCCACCACTGTCCCCTAGTCCTTCTACCCAGATACAAACATCCTATTCTCCTCTGTCCTTCCAGAGTGTGCATATATACACATATGTATATGTTCAAGCCCAAGGGGAATGTCCCAAAGGGAAAGTTGAAGCTGGTGAATTGTCTCATGCACCTGGATCTACTGGAAACAGATTTATATTTCTGCTGGAGAGAGATGAACCAGTGATTAATTGATAGGAATAAACAAAGGTTTAATATTTCAAAGGTCAAAGAATATAATTAGGAAGAGATGTTTTCATATTATCCTACATAGCACTTCTCTGGATAAGATTCATGTCATAAAATGGTAAACATTTATGTAATAAGAAAATAGACATTAAATCTTGATTTATCTGAATTGTTTATACTGGGCAAAATAAGTTATGTTTTAAATTATGTAAGAAAAATACGTGCTAATTTTTTTCAGAGAAGAAAGTAATGGGGAAAAGTGAAAAGCTGAAAAATGAGCCTGGCCAGTGTGGCTGAGTGGATTGAGCTTCATCCGATGCACCAAGAGGTCACTGTTGGGTTCCTGTCAGATCACAGGTCCGGGGTTGCAGGCTTGATCCCCAGTGGGGGCAAGCAGGAGGCAGCCAATTGATGTTCTCTCTCATTGGTGTTTCTATCTCTCCCCCTCTCCCTTCCTCTCTATCTAAAAATGAATAAAAAAAATTTTTAAAAAGCTGAAAAACAAAAGGATACATAAGTAGCTTATGTAGAAAAATAGGGTTACAAACAGAAAAATGAAGTTTCTGGGAGTCTGAGTAAAAAGTGGGGAAAATAGATTTTCATTATAAGCCTTGAGGTATTATTTGATATATCTGTGGGGGGGGGGGTGGAGAGGGAGAGGGGAGAGAGAGAGAGAGAGAGAGAGAGAGAGAGAGAGAGAGATTAAATTCCAAAGGGATCGCCAAACTGTAAGAGGAATTTATAAAAATGATTAACTTTGCAACAGTGGAATGTATCTTGAAAATGGCACACTTCAAGAATAAAAATTAAAAAGCTATGATCGTTTTGGTGGAAAAATGAATGGGGCATTACTTTCCAGTGCACATGATGATAACCGTTTTGCATACATTATTTCTAAGTATTTTCACAGCAACTCCTAAGGAAGATGCTATTACCTATTACATTTTACGGATGAGGAAATTGATGGCAGCATATTACTAAAATGTTCATATTACATAGAACTTCTCAGAAGATATTTTTAATTGTTTATTGAATTTTCTTTTCATTAACATAATATGCACCATTCTTCAGAGAAAAACAAGTACCATATGATTTCACTCATGTGGAATGTAATGAACAAAATGAACTCACAAAATAGAGACAGACTCAGAGAGAGCAGGCTGACAGCTGTTGGAGGGGCTGGCTGGAGGTGTTGTAGGGATTGAGCAAAAAAGAATAGAAAAGTCTCATGGACATGGGCAACAGTGTGGTGATTGCAGAGGGGGAGGGAGGGAAGTGGAGAAGGGTGTAGGAGGATAAATGGTGATGGACAGAGACTTGGGGTGGGGAACACAATACACCGTACAAATAATGTATTGTAGATTGTGCACCTGAAACCAGTATAAATTTTGTTAACCAGTGTCACCCAATAAATTAAACATAGAAACAAAAAATAACATAATGTGCACCATTCTAACATAAGCAAAGAGAATGTAGAAAATAATTTAATAAAACTACAGTTTTCTCCTGACATAGTTAAACATCATGTTATTCTTTTCCTGCTGTCTGCCTCATATCTAGGAGGATATAGCCCATCCATATCATGATAGCTTCCTTAACACACAAAAAAGACATTAAAAAACAAAATATTTGATGCAATAACTTTAAATTATTAATGAGCTGATATCAGTGCAAATTGTAATTAGGCAAGATTTATCTGTAGATTGACAAATATTAAAATTTTAGAAATTTAGAAAGGTAATTTATTACATTAATGGATATACAAAGATTTTTATTTCAATCTCACTAAGTGCCAGGAAAACATTTGGAAAAATTCATTGCAGCTATTCACAATAGCCAAGAATTGGAAACAACCTAAATGTATGTTGATAGACGAAAGGATAAGGAAAAGTGAGATTATACACACACACACACACACACACACACACACACAATTAACTATTATTCAGCCTTAAAAAGAAAGGGAATCATGTCATGTTGCAGTAGGCATGTACCTTGAGAGTGTTATGCTAAATGAAATCAGCCAGCCACAAGAGGACAAAACTATGATTTTACTTAGATGAGGTATCAAAAGTAGTCAAACTCATAAAAACAAAATAGAATGGTGGTTGCCAAGGGCTGGGGGCAGAGGAGGTGGGGAGCTGTCCTATGTGTGTAGAGTTTTAGTCATACAGGATGCAGCATGGTCCTGAGAATCTGTTGCACAACAATGTGCATGTGGTTGACAATACTGTAATATCCACTTGGAAATTGTTGGCAGGATAAATTTTATGTTATATTTTTTCCACAGTAAAAAAAAAGTAAAAACACGATACCCATTTCTAATATATAATTCATGGAATGAAAATACATTTTTAAAAATAATATTTTGTATATGTTTTATTATTTTTTTTCAGGGAGAGAGAGATAGAAACATAGATGTGAGAGAGAAACATCGATCAGCCACCTCCTGCACACCCCCTACTGGGGGTGGAGCCCGAAACCTTGGCGTGTGCCCTGACTAGGAATCAACTGGGACCTCTCAGTCCATTGGTGATGGTCAATCCACTGAGCCACACCGGCTAGGCTGAAAACACATTTTTTAATTTGGAAAACATTAGAAGGGCCTTAAAACCTGTATTAGTTTGCTACCACAACAAAGGACCACAGGCTGGGTGGCTTAAACAATAGAAATGGACAAGTTCCTAGAAACACAACCTACCAAAACTGAATTATGAAGAAATAGAAAATCTGAATATTCCTATAACTAATAAGAGGATTGAATCAGTAATCAAAAACTTTCCAACAAAGACAAGCTCTGGACCACATGACTTCATTGTTGAATTCTATCAAATATATAAAAAATGGTTAACACCAATCCTTCTCAAGTGCTTCCAAAAACTGAAGAGGAGGGAACATTTTCCATTCTATGAAGCTAGTATTACCCTAATACCAAAGTCAGACAAAGACAATACAAGAAAAGACAGCTCGCCCTGGCCGGTTTGGTTCAGTGGTTAGAGCGTTGGCCTGCGGTCCAGAGAGACCT